GAACGGCCGCGGCCGGGACAAGTACATATATGCGTGTAGGTACGTCGAGAAAGGTTCATCAATATTCATAAGTCGCGCTAGGCCTATCCGCGTCTCAAGGATTCAAGGAGTTTCCAGTGCGCGCTCCTTCTCCTTGTCTTTCTCGTTCTCGCGCTCTCTCTCTTTCTCTCTCTTCTCATTCTATTCTCTCTCTCTCTCTCTCTCTCTCGATCTATCTATCTATCTATCTATCTATCACGTCCTTTTTCCTCTTTTTTCATCCAGGGTGTGGGACTGCATACATACAACACGGTCAAAGACATTCGCGCGACTTGCAATTCTCCGCGTAATGCGCACATGTGCTCACCTAGTTATTTACGTTGCATTCTGCGTGCACATTGTCATATCGCGTTAGCGTTTTCCTTTTACCGACTATTCGACAACCGCTGTATAATACCGGTGCAACATTGGCAGTCGACTAGCTTATCCTACCGACAGGGGAACGTGCAAACGATATAATACACGAGCCTAAGGTATACAAGATTTTTGTGAAACTTGTGTCACGGATGGAATAATACTTTGAACGATATCGCGCCGTTGTTCGCGCGGAGGGAACAAAAACGGCTCAACATTTTTTTTTATATATCTTGCAGAGGGTTGAACACGGCGACATTCTCGAATCTTTCTTCACTTTCTTCCGCATTATATTTTTTACCTACCCCGTTTCATCGCAATCGCATAAAATCCGAAGGCTACCCCGATCGCTGTTTGCGCTATACGGATGTTTCACGATTCGAAGACATAATTATGCATTTCCATTGAGATAGTTACGAGGTCGAGCGAAATGATTTTTTTCCGAGAAGCATTCGTACGCCACATACGCGCGTCTAACTCGCATAGGTATGTGGACATTCTATGCATATCGCTCGTACATCCAGTGGCAAGGAGTAATATTATATATATATTGTATTGTAGTAATATTATTATATTATTATCTATATATATATATATATATATATATATATATATATATATATATATATATATATATATATATTTTATATATAATTATTATTATATTATATTATATNATATATATATATATATATATTTATATATAATTTATATATAATAATATTACGCCGTGCGAACTTGGATGGATATATATATTACTCCGCGACGTGGACAAAAGCGAAAACACGAATCTGCCAATTCTTCGATCCGGACCATTGTCTACCGTGAGAACGGCCATCGAGTTACGCCACGCAACTTACATACGTATTCGGGCAACGGAACGCGTATTCGCCGCGGTTCGTTCGAAGTTCGCGGCAATTTCGGCACGCCGTCCGTATAACGTATGTGCTTGGACCAACGTTCGTTCGTTCGCCTACCAGGGTCTTGCACGGTCCACAGCTGTAACTCCGGTCTACGTCCTACGTAGCCAGGGACGGAGTCTCGGAGAGCGTGTTCGCATCGCATGTACGCACGGTCGGGCCCGCGCATGCACGTGTAATGTATACATTCTGCGGTCGTGATAAGATCGAGAAGAAGCTTGCGCAATCTCGAGTAGCGATTACCACGGGCAGCAGTGTCGCGGACAGACGCAGACGGACAGACCCGTCGCGTCGCGTCGCCGCCACTGGCGAACTGGCAACGGCAACGGCAACGGCAACGGCAACAGCAACGGCTTTTACTCGCTCGCGCGTTGCCCCGGCCCCGGCCGGTCCCGGCCACAGCGCGCACTAACAAGGGGAGTGCCAAGGTGTGGAGATCGCTTTTGGAATGACACTCTAGGTACAGCTTGTAGTATCCATCCGATGTTAATGTTGCAAAACACCTTCGTACCTTTCGTCCGATCCGATTCGTTTTCGAAATTCCATTGGAAAGTATCGCGCATGTTTCCAGCCGCTCGATCACAAGATAGGCAGAAAGTGATTGTACACTCCGCGGTTGCAACGTGTTCGACTACGAGAGGATGGACTCGAATCTTTTAACGATACCACCGAACGTTATTTTTCTACCGTTTATAATGCGCGCCCTTCGAGCAGCAGTTCGAACTTCGAAGCCAGTACTTTTCGAGAAGGCCAGTACTTTGCGTGCCGGTACACCGGTACCGATATTCCCCTTAGCGGCTAATATCCATAGTAGGAAACCGTTTGAGTCGAAACGTCGAAATTCGAATCGCGAGTCTCTAACGTCGTTGATGTATAAAAATATCCACACAAGTATCTGTATGCTGTGCGCGGAATTATCGACGAAGCGAAGTTTTGGTCGATCGAGATCGCACGGTCGTGTGCCTACGTATCGACGAAAACGGTGTCATTATCGTTAATGTTAACCTCTTTGTCGAGTAAGGTATCGTTGGTTATACCTGTTGACGAACAACTGCATCGAAACAGAGAAATAATAACGACGTATTCCAAAGCAGATACTTCGGAGCTGCCGGCGCAAGAAGTCTCCCGATCGTACGGTATGTAAATTTATCGGTACGTCGGCTGAGAAAGTAGAAAAACCATCGGCGATGAAACGGACTCCTATCGGTCGAAGGCTAAGGTAGCTAAAATTCTAGTCCGACGAAACGCTGATTCATTTGAACGTTAATCGCGTCGCTGCAGTTTCATATCGTAGCGAGTATCGGGCTTCAATGTCGCGTTAATCGCGTTATTACTCGTTCCGTACACACACACGTGCGCGCATAGGTGTATACCGCTATAGGCTAACGCCCCATACATTCGATCCCGTTTCCTTTTTTCCGTAACAGTCGCAGCCTCGAGCGAGCGATTTTCTCGCGCGCCTCTCCACCTCTTCGATCTATTTTTCTCCCTCCCCGTCGCCGCGCACGCGGTTTTTATTTCTTTCTCTCGAACCAACGTCCACCCCCCTCTTCTCTCTTTCCGTCTTTTTCCCCCGCCTCTTTCACCTCCGTCTCGAGCGGTTTTCGCGCTTTCTTTCCTCGATTATAAAACGGTTACGCTGGAAGCGCCGGTGTGTCGCGCTTTCAACCGGCGTGACTCCGCCCGCTTTTCTGCGCCTGCCAGGTAGAGAACACGCAGGGCTCGTCGTCCGGCTTGAAGTTCCTTGATCGAAGATAACGCGTCTCTACGAGCTAGATTCCGCGCGTTCGACCTTCGATTCGATAACGCCGGGATAACGTTCGCGCGAGAATGCATTTATCGGTGCAGCGATTCGAACGTAGTCGGCTGAAAATTCGCTCGAGCGATCGCGAGAAGGATCGATCCTGCGCCGCCTAACCTTAAAACCGCTTTCCACGGAGACGCCGAACGTCTCTAGAAAATAACCGATGCCGAGAAATAGCCAGTTATTGGTGCGAATATAATAAAACTATTATGAAATTTCACGCGTACTCGGATCGAATCCAAGTACCAAAACGGATCCGGCGTGTGTAACGAAAATTTGTCGCGATCGCGGGTTGTCGTCGACAGCTCCCTCTTTTGTCCGTTGTTCGAGCACTTCGTCACCATCGCGCGCCCATCATCACCTGACCCAACGGGCGACGCTTGATTCGTGAGAATCTGAAATGCTCGCGATCTTCGCGACCGTACGCGTATCGTTGGATTCAACGGAACGAGAATAAGATGGTCGAGGTGTCGAGGGCGGTGGTTGTTTAACCGGGAAGCGAAACGTCTCTATGCGGTGAATTAGTTTAGAAGACGAAGAAGCCGACGCGATTCGGGCTTCGAGCTTCTGGATCGCAGAAAATCTCCGGGCCGAGGAATCTCGCGTTGAGGAGCACTGATCCGCGGTGTATATAGCATAGCACACGTACACACGGTGTGCCGTGTATTGGTCGAGCCTGGCGGGACAGATGGTGGGGATGACGGCGAAGGGTGCAGGAGGGGGACGCGGAGGGGCTCAAGGCCGGTCACGCTGTCAAGCAAGAAAGCCTGCGCGCCGAAATATCAACACGACTGTCCAACTCGGTTAGCCTCGCTCGCTGCTACGATTATGTACCTTTCCACGTTCTCGAACGCGCGCGCGTCTATCTCTCGCGCTCTCTCGTCCTCGTCCGTTCGGCGCTCCGGCGTCTACGTCGAAAATTCGTGCAACGACGAGAGACGATTCCGATTCGGATGACAACAAAGTGGACGGGATTGGTAAAACTATTCGAAAAGAGCGGAACGAGAAGTGGGTGGGACGAGAGAAACGGAGAGAGAAAGAGGGGGGGAGGAGAAGAGAGAGAGAGAGAGAGAGAGAGAGAGAGGGAATACGGTAAAGTTTCGGACAGGTGGCAAAAGCGTAGAGGGTGACAGCTGACGATAGTCCGCGACTCTGGCTATCGGGGAAGGTTACGAAATTCGTTGGCACGAGAAAGGCTGAAACGCGGTCTCGCGAGGAAAGAAGCGGTATGCTCGTCGGTGTGCGCGAGAGAGATCGTGCGTGTGCGGCACGAGAGCACGAGAGTATGTAGCACCGCGGCCGAGAACGCGAAAGAGAAAGAGAAAGAGAGGAGGAAGGATACGGTGTGAGACAAAAGGGAGAGACGCCGAAAGCGGAGAAAGATTCGGCCGATCGAGAGGAGATCGAGCGAGTTCACCGAACGCCGCGACATTCCCGAGGCTCTCCGAGGCTATCGCGGTGTTAGGGGGCCCTGGGACTCCGATAAAACGGAAAACGGAAAACGGTTTTCTATCGGCGTGAAATTCGTTCGATGAAAGAGGACGAAAGAAACTGAACGACGGGAGGGGGGCCGAGAGGGAGAACCGGAGGAAAGAGAGGAGGCGAGAGAGGAAGAGAAGGGTGAAAGGAATGGAATGGAATGGAATGGAAAGGGGACGGACGAGGAAGAGGAGGAGGAGGAGGAGGAGGAGGAGGAGGAGGAGGAGGAGAGCGAGGGGTCATCGGGAAACATAACCTCTGAACGCTCCGACGTTCGACTGGCTCGAACCTCGAGGCTCGAGGCTCGAGACTCGAAGCTCGAACCGCTGCTAGTGTCGGGACGGGGACGTGCGTCTCGTTTCCGCCGTTATGCTTCCGCGTGCAGGCGCCTGGCTTAGCCTTACCTTATGTTCGTTGTTGGCGGAGAGCGACGGTCCGCGGCCGACACTTATCCGATCGTTTGGCGTTCGGTGCGCAGCGTCCGAGACACGACGACACTCTTGACAGTTTTCCACGACGACGCGTGTCGGTGGGACAGTTTTTTCATTGGTGAAGCCGACGCCAACCGGACAGCCCCGATATATAGATCACAACACCGTCGTACTCAACGAGTACGCGACACTTGGCCAGACTCGTGATCGGGCGTCTTCGGACGAAGTAACAGGCACCCGAAAGAGCATGGCACACCTTCGCGTCACGTTACAACGAGTTACAACGAGCCACGGGCAGCTACAGGCTACGGCTACAGGCTACAGGCACGGGCACGGGCACGGGCTACCTCGGACTCTCTGTCTCCGTCTCGGTCTCGGTCTCAGTCTCGGTCTCAGTCTCCGTCTCCGTCTCCGTCCCCGTGTCTCCGTCTCCGTCTCCGTCTCCGTCTCCGCTGTTGACTGGTGGCTACCTCACACCACACCACACCACAACCTCGTCTCGTACCTGTGTCTCTCTTTCTCTCTTTCTCTCCGCCTCTCTCTCCCTCTCTCTCCCTCTCTCTCCCTCTCTCTCCCTCTCTCTCTCTCTCTCTTTCTCTCTCTCTCCCCGCCTCTCTTTCTCTCTTTCCGCGCTCGTGCACGGAGCCACTGCCGATAGTACAGTGCATCGCCACCAGATGGTCCATCCTGTCGCGCCTCCGTCCACCGTGTGTACTGTACAGCGTGTACGTTACGTATGCATCTCTACGTTGGCCGTACCGAACATTCGCGCACCCTTCGCTATTTTAAAAAAAGCCTCCTTTCTACACCGACCGCAAGCGATTTTTCTCTTACGCCTAGACTGCGGGGCTTTATGGGAATCTGGATCGGTGCTGAAACGCGTCGATCTCGTGGACGTAGACGCGGATACACGGACGACACGGATCAACCGATTTTCCGTATGCCGAGCGAACTAGGAAAGTCGTCGGCGCTGGAAATGTATTCTCGACCGCGTCGCAGACGATCGTACACACTTTCGAACGAGCATCGAAATATTTCAGCCGTATATTTTGAAAGTGACATAAGTAGTAATATAATAAAGTAAATATAATAAATATAAGTAATAAATATATATAAAATATATAAGTAATAAATATGAAGTAATATAATAAAGTAAGCATAATGGTAACGCTAATTACAATTGAACGGTATCTTTTCATTTAGAAAAAAAAGAAAAAAGAAAAAAGTGACTTATGCCACTTTCAAAATAAACGGCTCATTTTCTGGCCACTCGTAGCGTCGTAGGATCAACTTTATCCGCGAGCGAACGGAAAAGAAATCGTTGTAGGAATTCGAAGGGACCATTCGAAATGTTGCGTGTCCATTGTCCATTCGCGTCGATTTGCCCGTACAACATTTTTCTTACCGCGAAGTCGAATTACGTACGGCCTCGAGGTCGATCTTTTCTCATGGGATGACATCAAACATTGGCTTTCGAAGGAAACCTTACCGCATTGCATCGTACGAGCGCGAAAAAAGAAAAGAAAATGCGCAGAGTGCAACTCCAAGGTCGCGTCGATTGCGCATCTTACGGGTGCTTTTTAAACAAAATATTTTTTGTAAAAACGGCACCGATGTAACGAGATACTATTCTCAGCTGCTTAAATCGTTACGAAACGAAACCAAAGGTCGCTTCAAGGTCGCCTCGTGTGCGCGACAAAAATCCGTGTTCTCCAATGAAGAAACTGCAGCTCGTTTGCGAAAGAAAATCTTTACGATACCAAATTCGAAGGTAGACGCGACGCGACGCGACCGTTCGATATTAATGAATTTTCGCCGGGCAAACGAACGGCGAAAGAAACGAGAGTAAAACGTTCGCGTGGCAAGGGGCTCGGTCCATGGTAGCATAAGTCGGGTAAACGTAAATCATCATGGTTCAATGCACGGGACTGACCGGGGTCGCCAAAGCATTTTGCTTCGGCTCCGCTTGACAGCGATTGGCATTTATAATTCCCGGCAATGCAGCAAAAAAGTCGCGGAATGCGTTTGATTCGAACCCGTTTGAACGCGTTTCAGGAAACGTGAGTTAGTCCTTTCCACCGTGACGATCATATCGATTAGATCGTTCTTGCCAAGTGACTCGAGCCGTTGGGATTGCATTTTTTTCGAACGGACGCCGCGCCGCCGCCGAGCTGGGCCCGGCCGGGCCGCATCGGGCCGACGAGCCGCATCGGGCCGACGAGCCGCGTCGGACCAGGCCGCGCCGTGGGAAATCTACGAAAACAACGATCGCGACATTAGCATTCTGTTTTCTTCGCTCGATCGGCGGCGCAACGTTCGAGTCGCCGTGGCTCGCAATCTACGGTGGAAAAAGAAAAACTACAAATTCCGTACGGCTGTGCGCGCTCGAGTCGCGCGTTATGGCTGGAATGGTTATTGGGTTGGACACGGTTATCGATTGGCGGGGTGATCGATTGGCGTACATTTTATTGATCACTGTTTGTATGTACATGTGGACATATTGTGTGTACGTACGTAAGGCGGTTGTCGGAGTATTGTAAATAGACGAAATTCGCTATGCTTAGAATTTTCTGTTAAAAATAAGATGCGCGACACAGCCGGGGAGGTGGTGGGGGTTGGGGGTGCTGGACAGACGCGAACTTGGGAAAAGTTAACGAACGCTGTTTTTCCCCGTCGTTCGCCGTCCGATAATCCCCGTTCATGAAACCGTTCGCCGGTAATATCCGAAAATTTCCGATATCTTGGAGACCCGATCGGCCGACCAAAGACACCGAGTTAATTGGATTAACACGGCCGATGGATCGGACAGTCTTTCACGCCTCGGCGGCAAGGGCACTTCTCGCGCGTACGGTTACACCTACGTTATAGTTATAGCAGAACGCGTCGCAACGGCAGTAAATCTAACTACAATTAAGCGCATAGAGTGTCGCCGAGCGGCTCCGGTCGTTCGTTCGTTCCGATCCGATCCGATCCGTTCCGATCCGATCCGATCCGATCCGATCGGCCGCCGCGCCATTGTACCATCTCCGTTGCCGATCCTAACCGAGGCACAAGCATCAGGTACCTGGAATCTGCGATCCGCAATCTGCGATCTGCAATCTGCAATCTGCAATCTGAAATCTGTCGCATCGGTTCGCACCGATTCGATCTCGACTCGACCCCGACTCGACTCGACCTCGACTCGACCTATTTTCTCAGCGGGGAGTGCGGTGGCAAAAGGTTGGTCGGTGTCGGAGTCGGGCTGCTGCTGCAGGACCGACTGACGGCCCTGTGGGGCTCCACCGTGAGGAAAGTCCTGTCGGAGGTCGGGGGTGCCGAAGTGACTTCCGGTTCTACGGGGCTGGGGCATCGCCGCTGGGCGCAGGTCGACAGGCTGCTCCTCGACAAGGTCTGCAACGGTATCTGATAGATCCTTATCGGCTTCCAATCGTTCTGGGCATCTGCGGAGCAACGGCACGGTCAGGACTTTTTCGCCTACCTTCGTGCGACGGCATTTTTTATCGCGAGCGACCGCTTATTCCCGACGGCTTCTTCCGACCGTTGTCAACGAGCAGCACCGTTTCCAACGAAAACGGCAAAGAAAGGTTATCTGCTCCCGAAGAGGCGCGACCGCGTTTGCGAAACCAACGGAGGCTTATGAAACGAAAAGAAACGCGACGAAACGCGAGCCGATCGAGGGATCGAGATTCGTGCGGATCGCGCGAATTGCAAAATCGTCTATATCGCGTAAACGCGAGTTACAGAAACGTTTTGGAAAACGATGATCTCTCTCTCTCTCCCGGTCGAGCTGATACGTACTTTGCGAGTTGGATCGGGAGGACGAGGACTGCGGGATAGGCGGCGGATTAGAAACCGGTTCTTCTTTGTCCGATGGCTTCGCGTCCAGCCGAATTCTTTCGCACTTCCCCGGCAGAAACTCGGGGGCGGTCGTCGCGAAGAAGATGTCCTGTTTCGACGTGATCAGATTCAAGTTCGGCATCGCCATCGTGTGCACCAGGTTCCCGTTGATTATCAGTCGAATCTCCATGGTGTCCTTGGTGAACGCGATCACGTAGGGGAAGGCACAGGCTGCAACAAAATTGTTCTCGGTAGAGATCGTAAGGGTTTCGGTCCGACCAGACCCTGGAAACTAGCCCCGAGGTGGCCCTTTGTTTTCTCGAGCGGGATCCGTTCGACCAATTTTATGGTCTTTTTTCGTCCACGGGTCGGTCCGTGCCCGTCGAGATCGTCGTTCGCGCTACAACTATCGCGACCGATTCGAGCGACGAATCGCAACGATGCCTTCGGTGGCGATCGTTCGATCCAAGTATCTCCTCCGAAGGCGATGCGATCGAATACGTCGCTGCGTCGTCGGAGGAGCAACGACCGAGTCCCAAGGGTGGCTCACCTATATCGGCTGGCACGGAGTTCCAGTTGAAATCGAACTCGGACGGCGCGGTGTTCTCTTCGAGCAACTTTTGGAAATGGCACGTGTCTGCGAAAGCGACAGACTCTGTTAAGACCCGTACGTACACACGGTCGGCGATCGTCGTTCGATAACGCTTGTCTACGCACTGTTGTAGCAGAGCAGCAGCTCGGGCTCCTCGTCCTCGCAGAGGTCCAAAGCGGCGACCAGGTGCGGCTTCGACGTTCCGTCGATGTGAACGGTCCTCGTGCTTCCGGACGCCGAGATCAGTTCGAAATGGTGGCGAACGCCGCAGCAGAGGGTCCATTCGTTCGCGGCGTCCGAGCCCTCGATCATCGTGACCAACGACGGTGCTTCGCTGGCGTTCAACTCTTTCAGCACCGTGAAACCGTCCACGGTGTCCGTGTCCGCCGTCGAACACCAAGCTGTCCAAGCCACGCTGTGCTTCCATTGCAGCACCGTCAATCGACGGCCGACCGCCACGCACTAAAAATAGAAAGAACTCTCTCATCGTTTCGAAGAAAGGAGCCTCTTCTTCCTCGTCGAGTATTCCGAGAGAATCGGAGGAAATCGAAGAGATCGATCGTTTCCTTCTCGGTCACGAGTTCTTCAAGAACTACGGCGAAGCGGAAGAAAGAGGAAGAAGAACGAGCACGATCGACGAGACAAAGAGAAGGCATACCATGCGCAGATGAGATCCGCCGGGCATCGTGGTGGTGTACAAATGGCAGCCTCTGGTCCTCGGTAGCCTCCTGTCCTTGATGTGGGATCGGCCCCTGACGGCCAACGGGCGCGCTCGAACGCGTCCGCGCGCGCGAATCGCCACCGGTTTGAATTTCGCAGCGGCCTTCGAGCAGTTCTCGAAATCGTTGTCCTCGCTCTCGTCGGCGTCGTCGTCGACGTCCTCTCCGTCGCCGTTGTCCTCGCAATCCTGATCGTCGTCGCGCTCGTTCAACACCTCCGCCGACCTGTTAGCCGTGCCGCCGGCGTTCTCGAACTCTCGCAGACGGAACACGTAAACGTTGCTCTCTTTTCCTTTGTCTCCGGTGCGGAACAATAGTATACCGTGTTGCTCCACCACGTCCAGCTGCTTGATTTGCACGGACTCGTCGAAGATCATTCTATGGGACAGGCTGTCTGAAATGTTCGGCGGACGGTTACGGTTATCGTCGTCGTCGTCGTCGTCGTCGTCGTTATCGTTATCGTCTGTTCGACGATTCTCGCTGGACCGCGGATCTTTCTCGCGCGCTTATGGCAGAGATCGGTAGCGGAACCATCGAACTCTCGTTCGCGGATCCTCTGACATATTTTGCCCGATAGATTCTAATCGATACCGTTCGATTCTTCTCCAGCCGATCTTATCGGAACAAATCCGAAGAAATTCAAGGACGCTGTTTCGGTTCAGGAAAATACCGTGCACCTACATTCGTTCGATTTCTCCGCATCGTTTCGACCGTGTTCTCTCGTTGCTACCGAAAGTTTGCGGCCTGGCGAACAACGAACGGCCAGCGAGAAACGACGAACCGAAAGATCCTTACCTTCTATCAGAAAGGTGCCGTTCTCCGTAGCGAGGACCACCTTGCTGTCCAGCCACACGTCTCCGCAGACGACCTCGTGCGGGAAGTCCGGATAGATGCATCTCGGCTCCCAAGGTCTAGGCTTCAACGGGCCGGCCGTAGCCAACGATGTCGGCGCCAATCCTCGGACAATGGCTTCGAGCTTCAAGGCCTGTCCTACGCGCACCATCTCGACGGCCCGCGTTTCCTCGCGACGTCGACCTGGAGCCTCCACCACATCCGACAGAGCTCGTCGGTTCAACATGCTCTGCGAAAAATGCAACGGCCTACTAGGGTCTACTAGGAGGGAAAGGGAAGCCAGCCGACGGCACCTTCGCGCGTTTACATTTCCCGTTTTACCAGCAGCGGCAGGCTGCGTCGGTCGCGACGACAAAGAAAAAGATCCGAAAGAACGCCTATATCGCGAGGCTTTCTTTCGCCGAAGAGGCGCGGAGTCTAGGTGCGGCCCGACGCGACGTGACGCGAGTCGCGAGTCGCGAAGCAAAAGCATTCTACAAGGAACGTTCTACCGGAGAGGCCTTTTTCCGGAGGAGATTCTCCGCGAGTTTCGGTGAAACTTACGTTGCTCTTGCTCTCCTGCGTGTGCTCTTGGTACATGTCCCTGAGGAGCGCGTCCAGCGTTCTCTCCCTTTTCCTGGAGAACGTGGGCGTGTCGAAGGTTGCCTTCTCGCCGTTGATCAGCTTGACCAGCAGGAACTCCCTGAGGGTGAACGGGTCCTCGAAGACCGGCGGACAGGGCAGGCTGGGCCCGAACAGGGGGACGCTCTCGTCGCAGTAGATCGCCACGCGCCACCCTTTGTTGTTCTCCTCGGTGGACACCACGGCGAACACGTCTGCGATCAAACGTTCGGCTCACGATCGCCGCGCCGTTTCCCAAGGTCCGACCGACCGGTGATCAAAACGTTAGACGACTCACGCGTAAATTGGCTTCTGATGCAGTTCGGGTTGAACGCGTCTATCGCGTCGGGGTCGTCCGTGTAAACGATGTTGACGATGTCGTTGCCGATGTGCCGTTTCCTCTCCAACTGCTGCGGGTTGTCCTTCGAGTACGGCAGCATCGTGCTAACGTGATACATCACCTCGTGGCCGGCGTACACCGTGTAGTAACTTTCTTTGCCGGTCATGTCGCCTGAAACGTAGGGTTTCGTCCAGTTTCGACCGTGTTCTCGGCAACGTTCTAGATAAACGTTTAAACGAAACGCGCGCGCCAAGCTGCTCGCGGCGAAAAATCATCGATTACACAGATTTTTTCTTTCGAATATCCCTGAGAAATTGATAGTAGATATTCGAAAGAGTGGGGCGGCTTCGGCTTCTACGTTTCGTAATTAACCTTTTAGGTACGGCTGAATTCTGCGCGAGGCAATTTCTCTGGACGGCAGAGTCTGATACTGTATGTACAGGGTGTCCGAAAAATGTCTCGCAATCCGAAAGTGGCGGGATCCTCGGACCGTTTCAAGCAACTTTTTCCTTTAGAAAAATGTTCTCCGAGGCACCGTTAACGAGTTATCAACGAAAAACGATGAGAAATAAATATTTTCGCGAAAGCATCGAGGAAGATTCGATTTCGGACAAACGGAATAGAAAAAATGCCGGATACCTTTCACGTCCAAGCCGCCCCTGTATTTGTCCCAGTTCTTCAGCCATATTCTCTCGCCGAGGATCTCCAGGAAGTTGTCGAACTCCGAGCTGCCCTGCTCTGTAAACGAGACGACGCCGTGTACAACGCGTAGAACAACGGCCGACCTATTTTCTCGTCGGAGTTCCCGACCGCCGCCGAGCAATTTACAACTCACCGTTGGACAGCATCTCGTCGTCGGTGATTTGCCCCTTTTTCGCGTATATCACGCCGAACTTGAAGTTCACCGAGCCCTCCTGCTCCTCCAGCAAGAGCAGGTCCTGCGGCGCGGAACTTGTTTTCAGTACACAACTCGTTCGATCGAGTCGTATGGTTTATCGATACGGCTACGGGTCCGATCGGGGTTAGGGATATAATAGGATCGGGTCGCTCACCTTCTGTATATCCGGCGAGAAAACTTCGCGCGGCGCTTTGTCCAGCTTCTCCAGTCCGAAGAAGTTGCTGAAATTCGATCACACAATTGTTCGACATCGCGTCGTGTACCAACAACCACCCGGCAGAGTTCCGTTCCTCCGGACCCTAAACTTCTCGGCCGGCTTTCTCGGCCAACACGAATGTCGCACGATATGCCGTAGAGATATTAAAATTGACGTTGTCAGAATTGATTCGGCTATTTAGGCAACTCTGTTGGAAATTTCAACGAACGCGTTCCTCCGACGTTTACACAGGGGATAGAATCGATGTTTCTAGCACGAAGAAAATTCATCGGATCACCGTGGGTAAACGATAGCGATACTTGCCTGAGAATTTGTCTGATCGTGATCGTCTTGTTCGCAGAGTATGGCAGCGATATTTTCTGGGCGCCCTGAACATTTCGTTCCCCTTTCATTATACCGTATTCTACAAGCCTCTTGCGACGACCGCGTCGCGTCCACGATACTTACGGTTTTCCTCCACAAAATCACTCTGTAATGAGGGACACTTTGCNAGATATTCGAAAGAGTGGGGCGGCTTCGGCTTCTACGTTTCGTAATTAACCTTTTAGGTACGGCTGAATTCTGCGCGAGGCAATTTCTCTGGACGGCAGAGTCTGATACTGTATGTACAGGGTGTCCGAAAAATGTCTCGCAATCCGAAAGTGGCGGGATCCTCGGACCGTTTCAAGCAACTTTTTCCTTTAGAAAAATGTTCTCCGAGGCACCGTTAACGAGTTATCAACGAAAAACGATGAGAAATAAATATTTTCGCGAAAGCATCGAGGAAGATTCGATTTCGGACAAACGGAATAGAAAAAATGCCGGATACCTTTCACGTCCAAGCCGCCCCTGTATTTGTCCCAGTTCTTCAGCCATATTCTCTCGCCGAGGATCTCCAGGAAGTTGTCGAACTCCGAGCTGCCCTGCTCTGTAAACGAGACGACGCCGTGTACAACGCGTAGAACAACGGCCGACCTATTTTCTCGTCGGAGTTCCCGACCGCCGCCGAGCAATTTACAACTCACCGTTGGACAGCATCTCGTCGTCGGTGATTTGCCCCTTTTTCGCGTATATCACGCCGAACTTGAAGTTCACCGAGCCCTCCTGCTCCTCCAGCAAGAGCAGGTCCTGCGGCGCGGAACTTGTTTTCAGTACACAACTCGTTCGATCGAGTCGTATGGTTTATCGATACGGCTACGGGTCCGATCGGGGTTAGGGATATAATAGGATCGGGTCGCTCACCTTCTGTATATCCGGCGAGAAAACTTCGCGCGGCGCTTTGTCCAGCTTCTCCAGTCCGAAGAAGTTGCTGAAATTCGATCACACAATTGTTCGACATCGCGTCGTGTACCAACAACCACCCGGCAGAGTTCCGTTCCTCCGGACCCTAAACTTCTCGGCCGGCTTTCTCGGCCAACACGAATGTCGCACGATATGCCGTAGAGATATTAAAATTGACGTTGTCAGAATTGATTCGGCTATTTAGGCAACTCTGTTGGAAATTTCAACGAACGCGTTCCTCCGACGTTTACACAGGGGATAGAATCGATGTTTCTAGCACGAAGAAAATTCATCGGATCACCGTGGGTAAACGATAGCGATACTTGCCTGAGAATTTGTCTGATCGTGATCGTCTTGTTCGCAGAGTATGGCAGCGATATTTTCTGGGCGCCCTGAACATTTCGTTCCCCTTTCATTATACCGTATTCTACAAGCCTCTTGCGACGACCGCGTCGCGTCCACGATACTTACGGTTTTCCTCCACAAAATCACTCTGTAATGAGGGACACTTTGCTCGTTGACTTCGCTCGTTACCACCGACAGAAACAAAGGATTTCTCTCTTGATCAGCGGCCACGTAATTCTGGTGCACTGGAGACAAACCACGAAACGGATTAGCGATCGCGCGCGAAACGCGTTTTTATTAAGTCACCGAACGAGAGAATATAGAATACAGAGTATAGATGGTTTCGCGTTGATCGAGAATAGAAGACGACTCGAAGAACGATTCGAAAACGCGGAGTCGATTCGGAGAAGATGTCTCGAATCGATGTAGGAACAGCCGACCGGACGGTACAGTAATGTCTCTGTAATTGACGCCCGGATCGCGCACAAAAATAGTCAATTTGGGAAGAGGAGACACGATTGTCCATTTTAGTGGACGATCCGAGCGTCGGTAAGGGAGATGTTACCGTACTTGTCCAAGGTTCTCTTAAAATCGCAGGTAGACACGCTTTTTACTTACGTTTTCCGAGGAAGTACTTGAAATACCAGCGCGTTTGGTACTCGGGATTTTCCAATATCGGTGTGCTGGGAGAGCCGAACATCTGCGCAACGATACGATCTGGTTTTTATCGGCAACGTAACGGATGGAGCGAAGGGAAAATAAAACGGGTTTCGAGTTTCGAGCAATCGGGGAGTGCTTTTCTCTAATCGTAATCGGCTCGTTTCTCTCGGCTTTTTCGATCGGATCTTCGGGAACGGGCTTCGATAATTTAACCTCGACACGAGCGAAACATCGTATTTCTTCGAAATAATTACGCCTTCGAGAATAAAATATTTGACTTGTTCCGAACATTGTTTCAAACGATGCTTTCGATATCGGCGTTTCGTTGATAATATAATAGACCAAAGATGTTCGTGCTCGAACATGGAACGTTCAGCGTCGCGTTTTTCCTCCGTATTACGAACACGTAAACACGCTTTCTTCGTCGTAGCTGCGGCCTAATTGTACCGTTCCATTTCTAAAAAGACCGAGTCGACTCATCGTGTTCTAAGAGAACAGTCGCTCGCAGTTTATTCGATGCTCGCGGAACGCGCCTCCGAGGAGGATCGTCGATATTTTCGTTGACCGGAAACCGAATTGCGCCACTAGAAACGTAAGCGGAACGTGACTTCTTCCAACAGAGGTACATACATAGACGTCGACAGCGACCGAACGTCGCAGCTTCGAGTGCTTCGACTAGATAGACGAGAAGGTAGCAGAAATCGTTCGAACGAACTTGTTCTCTCCACGAAATACGAGCACCTTGGACTCGGTAAATTGAAAGAAAAAAGAAAATGACAACGGCGACGAGTTACCGTTCAAAATCGAAGGCGTTACGCGCCGCGATGTTCAACTTTCCGCGAAAAAAACTCCAGATTCTGCGTATAGAATTTTACGCAGTCTCGAATAGATTTCGTTCGTCGATCGGTAGCTTGCGAACCGTGTTTCCCCAAAGAGCCCTTGGGAAAGATGACTGTCGGAAGAAGAGGATGGGGACGGGACGCGGAGAGACATAATTACGCTCCGTTCTTCTCTTACCTCTTCTTTCTCGCCGGGCGAATCGCCGTTCTCGACCCGAAATCTTCTGCCATTGTCGGAGCCGTCTTGCTCGATCTGCGGCAGCTAAAAGGCGATTTCAAAGGGCGACATTAGCAACCGCGCGAGAGCCACCCTCCGTGTCCGACGAGCGACCGCGTGTTCCAATTTCGGAGCGGCTCTTTTACGCGTCGATACCGAAATCGAGATCGAGCCTACCGTCGCGAGATCAACGCGTGCTAAGATCACTCGATAGAAAAAATACCTGGTTTTATCGTACGAATGCCGTTCGGACCGTACACCACTCGCGCTTACGTTGTATCCGCGCTAAAAATCGTCCAGCGAACATCACGGTGGAACAAAATGTTCATAAATGCAGCAAACTAAAGAACGAATCGTGCTCGAATCGTGTACGGACCACGGACTAAACGCCGATCTCGGAGCCGCTCCGAATTCGTCGCAGGCACGTGCTTGGAAAATTATGCTCGACGCTCACCATTTCGACGCTGCCATAGTACCGCCTGGAGAGGACACCTCGTCTGGAAATCGCATCCGTGGTGGTTCTGGAACATCCCATAAATTCGCAGATCGATTACCGAGACAGTCTCGAAGAAAAGAGAAAACGAAGCGAAGAGAAAAGACGCGACAGAGAAAGATACTTGTTCCCGGTATCCTCGGACGCGAAGGTTTCTTGGCCGTTTCGCTAGCGGAGTAACTGGGTTAATGAGGCCAGTCTGCCAGGTACGACCCTGGATCGCGACAATTAACCCGTTGCTTAGCTAAATTCGAGAGACGCTCGATCGCGGCTCCGATCAAAATCCCAAGCTTTCGAGCACTCTATTCTTCCCGCGTCGGTCTTGCTTTAAACAAGCGCGATAGAGAAGCCTTTGTTACCATCGTCGTATCGATGACTTTGGTATTAATAACCGCGCGTAGAATACGCCCGAGTCCACGCTGCGCCAGTCCACGCAAAGTCCGGCAAACTAATTCTCGAGGCGATCGTTTGGATCGGCTGGTCGATCCACGCTAAACATACCGGCCCTGTTTCACGCGTTCTATTCGAAAATTATTCAAATTAACATAATCTCGTCGTCGTTTCGAAGCAACGCGCGCCGGTCGCTTCAGCGTCGAACGGTCGCATTCGAGCCGGTCGCCATTTTATTCTTTCAAGTTCTTCCTCGTTCGCTAAAAGTTCGACAGAACGATCCACTTGTTTCTATAATAACGACGATTTTATTATTTCGGAAATGCGGGATCGGCCGAAGACAGCGTCGATTCGACGGCGCGTAAACGGGGATATTTCTGGAATTCTTGCCGGCTCGCGGTCGTCCATTTTGTTGAAAGAAACCTTCGAAAGTCTTCGCCCGGTCCCCGAACCGCACCCGAATCGAAATCGAGAGGGCGAATCTCGACGAACTCGTCGAAACGTCGGTCCGTCGGCATTTACGAATCGTTCGCGGTGACGAACCGCGAGAATGAAACGCGTTTCCGGAATCTCGGACGGAGCTCGCAACGAAACGCAACGAAACGCAACGAAGCTTCCAATGAAACGAGAACGTACACGTGATGACTGGCCCTTCGATGGAGGTATCCGAGCTGGGTGGACGGCAGCGCGGACACGCAAACCGATCTGGACCTGTTCCTCCGTATCATTTCGTGGGCGGCCGGCACCGATTCCTCCTCCTCGCTGTCGCTTTCCGTCGCCGAGCCGGTCTCCCTTCTTCCTTTGCCTCGTTCGCGCTTCTCCAGAGAGGCCGTCGTCGTCGTCGTCGACGAGGTCGAGGTCGAGGCCGAGACCGAGGCCGAGGTCGCCGACGAGGGGACCGGTGACACGCTCGTCGCCGACGTCGAAGCCGACGAACCGTTCGACAGCGAAACGCCTCGAAGCCGGGACACCAGCTTCATGTCCAGGCACAGCATCCTCCCCGGGCCCGGCTTCGGGTCCGATCCGACCCCCGACGCTCGCTAGCACCTCGGTCCTTTCGCCGTCGTCGAAGTCGAACAGTCGAAGAAACTGACCCAAAACGATTATTCGATCGCGTGCGAAACAAGGCTGTCCTTTGTCTCGACGTTCGGGCAAGTTGGCGAACTCGCGTCGCGACAAGGACATCGATTCGGTCGAACAGACCGAATTCGGGGATCTTCTCGAATTTCATCGATACGTTCCACCTGGGACCGGTCTTGCCGATTCGATCGTCGAGTTATCGGTAGGTACCGTGGATCCTCGCGAACATCCTCTCGTTTCCGTTCTTAGAAAAATTCGAGAAAAGTTTGCTCGATCGATCGCTAGGTTTCTCCTTCGGAAAATAATGGATTGCCATTTCGTTGTAAAAGTTTAATCGTTCATCGTTTTAGCGGCTCGCGCTTGTACGGAGGCCGAGAATCGGACCGACGCTGATCGATCTATCTATCGTGGGTCGATAAACGATAAACGCGCGAAGATCCACGGTCCGTGTTATCGTGGAACAGAGATCGGTACGAAGTTGAAATAAATCCAATGTTATCGTAAAACGGTGTACCGATCGCGTTTAGAGCTCGTTGTCGGCTGATCGGCGTCGGTCGCCAAACGGATAAGCGGAAGCGCGAGCACGAAACGAAGAGTCGGCGATGTTTGCTCGCGCGATTCGACGATCCTCGAGGATGCTGTTCCTCGACGTCGCGTCGACCGAGGAACGCGTGCTTCCAATTTCGTTCGATCGAACCGAATGCCCCGAACTTTTTGGCACGCGAGACGGCCGACGAAAAATGACAGAATCGTTCCTTCGCGAATTTTCGTTATCGAGACGCGGCCTTCGCGAAGCTTCTCGAAACTAATTTGGAACGTTCGCGGTCGTTTGGAAACTTGCTCTTTTCCAGCGCATTCCGACTTATATTCGGGAACCGTTTCGAATGAAAATGCTTCGAATTGCAACGTTATTCACGAATTCTTCTCGAGATCGGCCCGATCCACGCGTCGCGCGCGCATCATTTTGCCCCTCGACCCTAGGTTCGACGATAAGAAGGGACGTCGCGCCGCTACCCTCCGATTTCTCTTTGTATCTTCTTACTCCCGCGAACCACTCGTGACTTCCCTTTCAACGGCGTTCCCGATACATACCGCTTTTTGTCTTTACGGAACAAGTTAAAGAGAAGACAAAAAATACAATAGCCTTTGTCTCTTGCGCGCCGCGCTTCGAATCGAGGAAAATCCGCCGAAAATCCGGCGATATCCCGTTGCAGCGTTATCGTATATATGTATAGCCTTCGTATTTTCGATTTTTTTCTCTCGCAAGGGAGAATAGCGGGCGATCGGTCGGAAAATAACGGCTCGAAAGAGTTTTTCTCTCGCGACCGCGACGATGGAAACTCCGCCGTCTTCAACAAATTCTAAGCGAACGAGAAGACGCTTACCGTTTGTCTATATTCTCTTTAACGATCTTTAAATATATCGATAACGAAATAGAATAGAATTTAATTTAGACTCGAGACGAGTAAAAGATGCGATATCGAAATCGCGTCCATCGAAGAATTTCGAATCGCACGGTCGCGGCAGCTTTCTCGACGCAGCGGGACTATGCGTCGGGAATCGAAGAATCGGAGGAAAGCCAACCTTCGATCGCCGTCACCGAGAATAGCATTTTTTTGTTTTTTAGCGATTTAGCAGCGTACTTTGGGCCAAATGTTTTGGCCCAGAAATGTAGAAAACGCGAACGCGTGCCATCGCTCCGGCTCGCGAGTAATCTGGGGTCCGCGTAAACACGACGGAGAACATCGTGTTCCGTTCTTCGTGTACGCGGCAATTGGAAGAACGCGTTCCTTCGTTAACGAATCGACGCAAGCTGCCGCGTTCTCCTCTGAACGCGAACGAAAAATGAAACCGGCGAAACGAGGCTCGCCGAGAGCCGAGCTTTGGAAAAACCGACGCACCCTCTTACAGCCGAACAACGTCCGAGCGATCTATCGAGGGAGCACTCGTGTTCTTACAGACAAGGATCAAGTGTCCATCGTCGATCGAGGATCCGGATCGAAGCCTCGGAGCTGCCGTGTGCGGAGGAGACGCATCCAAGTGGTCTCGGATCACAGCGTCGATCGCAACGGATTCGACGCGGACGCGGTCGTGGACGTTTCGTTCGCCGATGGAACGAACGAAATAACCGAACTCGAACGAATATCGAAACGGGGTAGAACCGGAAAGCACAGTTTCGTCGATGTCGCACGTGTTCGGTGGTTCGATCGATCGATCGATCGATCGATGGATCGATCGGTCGTCGAGGGACGAGAGAGTACGACGAGAGGAACGAACGACGAGTTTGCCTCGGGTCTGCAACCCCTACTGTACTGGCGGCGGGCTGGGCGGCAGGACACGACCCTTTTCGAACGAGGACGCGGCGAGAGGCGGCGAGAGGCAGCGAGAGGCAGCGAGGCGGCGAGTCACGGTGAGAGAGCAACTACTCGTAGTAACACGGCGACTCGACGACTGGCGCCGCGTCGTCGAGCTCATTGGCTCTCTTTTCCGCCCCTGTCTCCTCTTCTCTCCTCTCCGCTCCTCTCCTCTCCTCTCCTCTCCTCTCCTCTCCTCTCCTCTCCTCTCTTCTTCGCTCCACCGCACTGGTCTCTCTGTCGGGGCTCGTCTTTCTCTCGTGCTTTCTGTCTTACCGCAACTTCGCCTCCCTAAAGCTACGTGCACACCGCCACGATACTCCGGAATCCTCGAATTCCTCGGAGTCGAAGAAAATTGTCGATTCGACCCCGAAAATCGGGCCGTTTTTCGGCCTTACTCGGTCCGATCGTCATCGGTCCCTGATCGTTCAAGAGTTTTAACCCTTAGCACTCCGAACCATTCTGGACGTTGGCTACCAGCTACTCGGCGCCACTTTTCGGCAGAGACGGGCATTTGCAGACCCTCGTATTATTTAGTATGCTTTTGGAACTAACTAACGTATTATAATGATATTGGACTTATATGAATTTGGCTGAAATCGAGAAATTTGCAAACAAATCAATATTTTATTTTTTATAATTTTGTTATCGTTTGTTTTATAATTGCGTTTCGTTGTTGTAATCGCTGCCTATGCGAACTCTTTCTCTCGTTATTACTAACTCGCAAGATGATATTTACCAAAAAAACTTTTACCGAACAATTTATTTACCAAGAGAAGAATCGCTTTTCCGATTTTCTCACTCGTCAGATCTATCTATACCGCTCGACGCTTCGAACCAGACCGAGTTCGGCTTTGAAAATCTTTTCCTCCAGATTTTATGATTATAAATCTCGCTGTACGGTGCGTGCTATGTTCGCATACCGACCTTTCTTCCACAAACTTGCCTTATCGCTCTTTTCAAATGGCGCCTTCGAAGTGCTCGGACCGTCGCGAGCACGCCTCTCGCGTTCTCGTCAAAATCCGCCGACGTTTCTTGCATATATCTTAGTAATTTTACTATATTTTCATTCGATTTCTTGCGCCGTTTCGAGAGAAAACTTCAGGGAAACACGCGTGTCTGAAAAAGTTGCGCCGAAATAACTCGATTCCCCGTAATCGCTAATAAACTTGAATGTCCCACGAGAGGGGACGTCCGAGCGATA